CAGTTCTACTCTGTTCTATAGGGTCACTATGAGTCAGAATCCACTGGGTTTGTTTGGGTTTTTGTTTTTTTTTTTTTTTTTTTTTACGATTTATTGAACTAAAGAACACCCAGGACTATGAACAAGGAAGAAATTGACATGGCTGAGACCCTGATTTGGACTTTTAGCCTTCAGAACTGTGAAAAAATAAATTTCTGATCTTTAAAGCCACCCATCTGTGGTATTTGTGTTACAGCAGCACTAGAAAACTAAGACACTCTCCATCACGTGTCCCTGCTTTACTCCCTTCTCGGTGCTTAGCAATGATTTTGCACATTATTTGCTTATGTGCTTATAGGCTCTCTCCAAGGCCCTCCTTCCTGCCACTGCTTCATGGCAGAAGGAACTTGGCCTGTCTTGTTCACCGTTGTATCTCCCGTGCCTAGAAAAGTGCCTGGAAAATGACTCTCGGCTAATATGTGCCAAATCAATGCATGTATAAACGAATGAATGAAAAAAATCTTACTAACTTTCTTACATAAGGATCCAGGAACCCCTATTCAGAAGCACCCCCTCTTCCTGGTTAACAAAGGCGGAGACCACAGGAATAACACTGTGGTTGGTAGCAACCACTAGCCAGCCGTTATATCCACACACGCTGCTGGGCACGGCTCCAAAGCTAAAAGGCACTAATTGCTTTTATATAAGGAGGTAGAAACACAGCTCCTCAGTGTCCTTCCGTCCTAACAGTCTGCATTATCGTATCTGTTACTGTGTTAATTATTCCTGTCTCCCACAGCCAGTTTGGGCTTTATTCTGGATATGGCTGGGATGGTGACAGGTTTCTATATAGGAAAAAGGTACTATGGAAATGTGTGTGTGTGTGTGTCCCTGTGTGCATATGTCTATGTGCTTACTCGTGTGTCCCTGTGTCTGTGCATGTGTGTGTCTGTGTGTGCACATGAATGTGTCTACGTGTTTGTGAATGCATGTATCCCTGTGTGCATGTGTTCATGCATGCATATGTCCATGTATGTGTACACGTGTATCCCTGTGAATGTTCGTGCATGTGTGTGTCCACGTGTCTGTGTGTGTTGATGCGTGTTTGCCCATGCATATATCCATGTGTGAGCGTGTCCCTGCACGCATATGTCCACGTGTGTATGTGTCCACGCATACATGTGTCCATGTGTGCATACACGCGTGTGGCTGTGTGTGGGTGTGTGCAACAGAAGCTACACACTGTAAAGGGTTAACTTGTAGTCAGCCTGCCTGTGCTCAGGGCCTTAAGACTGGCCCAGGAATGGGAGGGATTGGCCTGGAAGGTGGTGTGGGCTTGGCTTGCCATTAGCTGCCTCTCCCGACAGGAGTGCAAATGCCTGCCCAGCTGGACCCAGTGTGGTGATCTGAAAGCACCCATAGGAATGGCTGCAAAAGCCCACACCTGGAAATCACTCCCTCCCTGCCCCTCCACGGCAGGTTTCACATGGGAGCTACCCAGGCCATTGGAGGAATGAGCCGAGAGTCAGCACTTCTGTAGCTCACCAGCACTTGGTGGGAGGCAGCAGGCAAGGATGGACGTGGTTGACAGCCTTCTTGTGAATGGAAGCGACGTCGCCCCTCCCTGTGAACTCGGGCTCGAAAATGAGACACTTTTCTGCTTGGATCGGCCCCTTCCCTCCAACGGTAGGTGTCAGCCACTGATATTTTAATTCAGAAAACCATGAAGTGGAGGGAGAAATCAGCAAACACAAGGCTGATAAAGAAAATATAACAAAGTCGTCATAAATCAAGCCTGGGTAAAGTTGTTGATTCAGAAGTTTGGATAAAAGATCAAAAAGCAGAATAGATTCAGGTATTCTTATTGTTCTCCACATGCGAGGTAGGAACAAACGTATCAGACTTGGGGGAACAAAAGCAGTCAGTTGAGGAGACAAAGTGTAGCAAGAAGGAAGTACAAGTGTCAGAGCTTGAAGTTACAAGCATGACAGAAAGGGTGTTGTCACAATCTAGCAGGCGCCTTTTCTTGGGGGAAACTCAGTGTGAAGAAGTGATTAAAGCAAAATAATGCTTTGCAGCTAGGAAAGAAATCGATCACTATTCACTTGAGAAGCTTTGTTCTTAAGAAAAAGTGGGCGCCCCAAGTGATCCTTTAACAAACCAATCTTTTAGAAGAGACGGAATCACTCTAGGCTTTCCCTACTTTGTTTCTGCAAAATGTTGTCAGCACAGGCAGACTGGGGCTCAGTGATATACACACTTCTGCAAAAAAAAAGGGGGGGTGGCGGAATCGGCTGGAAATAACCAAATGCTAATGTTGTAACATTCTCTCTCCTAACCTCTGATTCTCCGTCTCACCCCTGTTCCTCTTTGCAGAGTGGCAGCCAGCAGTGCAGATCCTCTTGTATTCCTTGATATTCCTGCTCAGTGTGCTGGGAAACACGCTGGTAATCACAGTGCTGATTCGGAACAAGAGGATGAGGACAGTCACCAACATCTTCCTGCTCTCCCTCGCTGTCAGCGACCTCATGCTTTGCCTCTTCTGCATGCCATTCAACCTCATCCCCAACCTACTCAAGGACTTCATATTTGGCAGTGCTGTTTGCAAGACCACCACCTACTTCATGGGTAAGTGGCAGTCGGTGACTACTTCTGGAGATCGACCTGAACCCCACTCGGCCCCAAATCTTCCCAAGCCCCTGACGGCCACAGCAGAGGAGCTGTGCCTAGTGTCAAAAACCAGAACACTAGGCTGTGTGGGACAGTGTGCAAGGACGTAGGTGCTGGCTTTCAGGCAGGTCAATCTTCCCATGTTCCCAGATGCTTTCCAGAAGTCAGTTTCTGCATGCCACAACGTGGACGAACCCTGAAAACATCATGCTGAGTGAGATAAGTCAGTTGCAAAAGGACAAATACTGTATGATCTCACTTAGATAAAATAAGCAAATATATAGAAACCAAAGATTGTTAGTGCTACCAGGGGTGGTAGGGAGGGGGAAAGGGGGAATTTTTGCTTAGAGGGCATTGAGTTTATGTTAATGATGGTGGAATGGTTACACAACATGAAGAATGTAGTCAATGTCACTGAATTATACATGTAGAAATTGTTGAATTGGCAAATGTTTTGTTGTATATATTTTCACCAATTAAGAAAAAAAGTCCATTTCTAAGAGTGAAACAAGTTGATATGAAAATACAGAAGAGGTTCAGTTTGCTTGCCTTCTATTCAAAGGGAAAACAAAAACAAAAAATCAAACCCATTGCCATCGAGTCGATTTCAACTCATAGTGACCCTATAGGACAGAGTAGAATTGCCCCATGGGGTTTCCAAGGATTCGAACTGCTGACCTTACAGTTAGCAGCTGTAGCTCTTCACCATTATGCCAGAAGGGAAGAGGGACTCAAAAGCGACGTCAAGCAGCTCTATCCCTTTCTGGAATCCAGTGGTTATCTCCTCATTTCTACTCGAGTCATGGATTTTGGGGTGGCGGGGGTAGTGGAGGGGGGGTTGTTTGCTGGTGTTGCTCTTGTTTTCTAGGAACAGGGGCTATCTGAAAATCAGTTTAATTACAGCTCTAGGTTCCCTTCTCAGGATTCACTTTCCAGACTGTTCTTCTGAGGGCTTGGACCATCTGAGGCAGAGAGAGAGAGGCCTCTGTCCCACACGAGGAGTTGCATTTGCTCCGGGGGGCTGTGGGGCCACTGAGCCGACCCTGACTGGCTGAGATATGTGCGTCTCTCCCTGTGCCCATCAAAATGATGACAACCATAAAAATCACAAGCCCTGATACTTTTTGGTACTTTTTATGCACCAGATAGTGTACCAAGTGCTTTTACCCCCATGATCATATTTTATTCTCAACCACCCTATGAAGTAAATACACTTCTTTTTCCCATCTCAGAGGAAGGAAGAGAGGCACAGAGAGGTAAGTAATGTGCCCGAGGACACACAAGTGGTAAGCGACAGAGCTGGGATTTGAACCCAGATCAGTTAGCCCCCACAGTGGGAGTACACTGCCTCAGTTTACCCGCTGCTGTGTTCTCCTGAGGCTGAACAGAAGCATGTTTCTTGGTCCCTGCTGTCCACCAGATCGCCTTATCCCTTGCCCATTCTGAAACCTAGTTGGAGTGTGGGGCAGGTGGGAAATGAGGAGGGAATTGTTTTTGTTCTGACTCAAGCCTTGCAAAACATGCAGAGCTGAGTTGAGCCAGGGAAGTCTTCAGGGACTGGAAAGCTTTAAAAGCCTTTATTTTTCCCAGTCGTGGAAGCGGGAGCCAGCACTGACAAAATGATGATGAATTACTGACCCTCAGGCCACAGACAAATATCCAGAACGTGTCGATCTGTGTCCACATCCTCTGAAAATAGAAAAGGACTTACAAATGAAAAGGAGCATTGGGAAATAATAAGGCAATAATAATAACTAGCATTGCACAGTGCTTTATGCTTTCAAGTTCCTTCGATACATACCTTACAGTGACATTATTTAAGAACCTTAACCAGAGTATGTGAAAGGAGATTTAAACCTCAAGCTTGTATGGTTACCTAGTATTGTGAATGGACTAAATGCTACAGAATTCTTCATTTTAACACAGTTAATTTTGTTATGTGAAATTCACCCCAATAAAAAAATTATTTTAAACAGCCAAAAAGAAAAGCAAGATAATTTTGCCAAGTATTCGCAATGCAATAGTGATTTTATTGGATTTCTAATTCCAATGATTGAGACTCTTCCCTCAATTTTGTGGTCTCCTCAATACTATCGCTAGCAGCTAATATTCATTAAACTCCTAGCATGTGGCAAAAAAAAAAGGGTGCTTGCCTGATAGGGGTTTATAGTTACAGTGGGCCCATTATACAGATTTGGCTCTCTGAGGAGTTTTGGGCCATGCTTTCTAATCTAAATGTCACCAATTCCTTAGGGTAAAAGCCCAGTAAAATACAGAGAAACTGTGCCAGCACATGCAGTGTCATTTAATGATTTTGGAGCCATAGACTCTTTCAAAACTGTTTTTAAAAAGCGATGGAGACGTTCCCCAGAAAAAAGAGAACATTTCTGCTCATCATTTCAGAAGATCAATTTATATCCATAAACATAGTTACAATCTAAGGACGCCAAGCTAAGAACCTCTGCTCCCCAACTTATCCTTTGCTGTTGTAAGGTACCATCGAGTCAGCTCCGACTCATAGGAACCTTATGTATAACAGAACAAAATGTTGCAGGTCCTCACAATCATTGCTATGTTTGAGCCCATTATTGAGATTAATCCTAATGTTAAAGAAACTATGGTAAGAGATAATCAGAAGAATGAACAGAATTCATAGCTGAAGAATTAAAGGGAATTTTAAGGTGATAAAACATTATCATAATTATATACACAATACAAAAATTAGGAAAAATTTAAGCTTTTTTCACTAGACCTTAGTAAATCTCTTAAAGCTTTGTTTATTGTCTTTCCCACTGTAACAATGATCCATGCCCACTCTACAAAATACAGAAAAGCAGAAGGAATAAGAAGGAAGACCCTCGCTGCCCCCCACCCAGAGAAACCTTTATTAACAATACAGAGTGCTTCTCCTTTGTCTTTTCTTATGGTGTGTGTGTTATGTTGTAAACAAACTACATCTTGGAATTTAGAACTTTTCACTGTTGACAACAGTCTGTACTAGAAATTTTCTGAAAGACTCTTAATGCTTCCAGCTCAGATCCCGGTGACCTTTCAAGATCACAGAATCCTTCAAAATCTTGGGTTTAGAAGATAAACTTAACTATGCAGATTGTGTTCAAAATTAGAGCTTTTCTCCAGGTTTCCCGACGCCTCTTCTGTAGGATGGCAACATATTTCATCCCCTTGGTAATTAATTAATGAGCACCTTCTGCCTCAGCAGGAGTTAGGTTGTAATCAAAGCTTAATAAACTTATCTAAAAATTGGCAATGAGATATATTTGCAAAGGCATTGCTTTAACTACCTTAAATCCATTTTGGAACACAGCTGGGAATAAATCATTTTTCAAATAATATCCATACACTATTTATTTCTTTGCCCTCTGAGAGTTTTCCTTTGATACCAAACCTGCCCAGATCAGATATGCTTAAGCTGGTGTGCAAATAAACACTGGATTTCACAGCAGACATAACCGGCTTCTTTGTTCCTTTCCCAGGCACCTCTGTGAGTGTATCCACCTTTAATCTGGTCGCCATATCTCTGGAGAGATACGGTGCGATTTGCAAACCCTTGCAGTCCCGGGTCTGGCAGACAAAGTCCCATGCGTTGAAGGTGATTGCTGCTACCTGGTGTCTCTCCTTTACCATCATGACTCCGTACCCAATTTATAGCAACTTGGTGCCTTTTACCAAAAATAACAACCAGACAGCGAATATGTGCCGCTTTCTGCTACCAAATGATGTTATGCAGCAGTCCTGGTAAGGTTGCATAGTGGTTTATTTTTTTGGTTTATATATATATATATATGTGTATATATATATATATATATATAATTTTTCAGTATTATGAAAAGCTAGAATGTATTGCCCAGGGTGGCTTTGGGATCAGCTTCTAGGAGATTTTTTGAGGAAGGGTCAGTATAAGCTCTTTCTAGGATAATAGTGATAGCAAAGACTTTGAGAGCTCTGTTCTAAATGCTGTACATATATTCACTCATTTAACACTCTCAAAACACTGTAGAGTAAAAACTGGTTGCCATCAAGTGAACTCCAATGTGTCAGAGTAGAACCATGCTCCATAGGATTTTCAATGGCTGATTTTTTGGGCCTAGATCGCCAGGCCTTTCTTCCAAAGCACCTCTGGGTGGACGCGAACCTCCAATCTTTCAGTTAACGGCTGAGTGCGTTAGCCTTTTGCACCACCCATGTACCATTATTATCTTCATTTTATAAATGAGGAAACTGAGACATGGAGAGGTTAAATAAGCTGCCCAAGTTTGCACACCTCATAAGTGGCAGACTCTGTGCTCAACCACCATGCAGTATGCTTCTAAATGGTCAAATGGAGGTTTGGGGCTAGATGACCTGGAGAGCCACAATTTTCTGGAGAATTGACAATAGAGCAGAGATGAGTCCAAAATCCAAGTGATTTTTCTTAGAGCTGCAGCTATGGTACTTACATGAAGCACTTGACCAGAAATAAAAAAGTGAGAGTCTAAAACCCATTCCTTTGCTGGGTGACCTAGGGCAAATTCACATAACCTCTCTGAGCTTCAGGTTCTTTATCTATAAAAGGAATTAAGAACATATATTTCTTATCTACCTCATTGGGTGGCTCTAAGTTTCAAATGAAAGCATGTGTATGAAAATAGAATTAAATATCTAAAAAAAAAAAGGCTACACAAATGCAAGGTATTATGTTTAATAATTCCAAGGATGTTTTAGAAGTGGGAAGCTAGACATTCAGAAATGGCTCAAAACTCAGATAATCTCTGCTGCCTTTGCCTTTCTCCTTTCATTTCAACCGAGGAACACACACACAAAAAGAATTATATTGCTTATGAGAGGGACATTTCCATGACTTGAAAAGGAATCTTATCAAAACATGTCCAATTGAAGTGAGAAATGGCCCAGCCACTGTAAGACTCTGACAATTTTCTGGCCTAATCGTGCAACCTAACACATGCCAGATTGCTAAAGTGATTTAAGAGCCAGACTTATAAAGGAGGAGCCTGCAACTCTTCAGGACTCAAACATGTTTAGAGAAAGCATAGCTCTGCCCCCCTAGGCACTACAGAATGCATATGCCACTGCACCGACTTCATGAGGTCATGGGGAATGGAGGCCTATGAGAATTTTTGAACCGTTCATGGGTCAGAAACAGCAAGAATGCAATATTTTACAAAACCAAGGAAGTTTCCCCATCATCCCTACTTAAGCATTTGATGACTCTGTTGTTCTAAAGTTGACAAATGGTACGTCCTAGAATCATGCTACTTGGGTTCTGTTATGGATTGAATTGTGTCCCCCAAAAATGTGTGTTGTAAATCCTAACCTGTATGCCTGTGGTTATAATCCCATGTGGGAATGTGTTGTCTTTGTTATGTTAATGAGGAAGGATTAGTGTAGGGTATGTCTTGCATGAATCTCTTATGAGATATAAAAAAGATTCAACAAGAAGTGAACAAGCAGAGATGGGGGAAGATTGATGCTAAGCCACAGAGAGATATCCAAGGAACCAGGAAACAAGATGAAGAGACAAGGATCTTCCCCCAGAGCCAACAGAGAAAGAAAGCCTTCTCCTAGAGCTTTCAGCCTGAGTTTGGACTTCTAGTCTCCTAAACTGTGAAAAAATAAATTTGTTTGTTAAATCCACCCACTTGTGGTATTTCTGTTATAGCAGTACTAGATAACTAAGACAGACTCAAATCCCACCTCAGCCACTTGCTGGCTGTGTGACTTCAGACAAGTTACTTAAACTCTTCGGCTCTCAGTTTCCTCATCTATAAAGCAGGTAGTATGATAATAGTCCCTACCTGAAAAGTTATTATGAGAATTAAATGAATATACAGAAAATGCTTAGCCTACTGTGTAGCACATGCAACAAGTCCTCAATGAATGTAAGCTCTTGTTATTTTAAATATTTAGACTTGTTTCAGAAACAGAATTATAACCATCAAATTTTTCCAATTTAAATAGTTTTTCATAAAAGACTTTATCTGAAAAAAGAAAATAAGTAAACAACTTCTAGTAACTGAAACTCCAGACATGGAATTCCTAAAAATATTAAATTAAATACCAGTAAATAACGTGTTCACTCATATCTGTTAAAGATGAACCCTACTCATTCCTTCCCTTTTGAATTTGAAAGACTGAAGTTGCTCGTTATTAAATTTATTTGTATTTTATTAGGCACACGTTCCTGTTACTCATCCTTTTTCTTATTCCTGGAATTGTGATGATGGTGGCATATGGATTAATCTCTTTGGAACTCTACCAAGGAATAAAATTTGATGCTAGCCAGAAGAAATTTGCTAAAGGTAACTATCTTTCAGCTATATGCTTATGCCAAAAGATTACAAAGCTTGTTTTCTATAACTTAAACAAATATATCCACTCAGAGTATATAGAGTATATTGAAGATGTTCAAAAATATTCTTATGATACTCTGTTGCATAAGGTACAATCATGAGGCCCAGCGTCTCTATTTCCTCATCTGTAAAATGGGAAAATAACTCCTCTCAAAAGGTGCTGAGTAGAATAAAATGAGATAATACCCACATAACCCAATTATAAACTGAGGGCCCATGTGTCCCAGGCTTTCTGTAATGTTGCATTCAAATACACACCCTTCAACAACCAAAGCTAATTGTAATTCTGGTCTTTACTTGTGTCTCTTCAAAGACATTAGAAGAGATTTTATTTATAACCCAGCTTATTTAAAATCCAGCCCAGCTTTTTATCTCCTTTTCCCCAGCTTGTCTCCCCTTCTCTTTCATACTGTGGTTGTCACAAAGCCTCCCTCCTTCTCCATTCATTGCAATGCACTATTCACTAAAACAGGAGACCTGGTGGTACAGGGGTTTAGAGCTATGGCTGCTAACCAAAAGGTCAGCAGTTCGAATCCACCAACTGCTCCTTGGAAACTGTATGGGGCAGTTTCGCTCTCTCTTATAGGGCCACTCTGGAAACCTTGGTGGCTTAGTGGTTAAGTGCTATGGATGCTACTCAAAAGGTCGGCAGTTTGAATCCACCAGGCGCCCCTTGGAAACTCTATGGGGCAGTTCTACTCTGTCCTATAGGGTCGCTATGAGTTGGAATTTGACTCAATGGCAATGGGTTTAGTTTTTTGGTTATAAGGTCGCTATGAGTCAGAATCGACTGGACAGCAACAGGTTAATCACTAAAACTTTCTTTGTTAGCAGAACTTTTCCCCTTCTCACTCCATGGCATTGTTTAGCTCTTTAGTGTACAGATAACTTAGTCTCTCTAGCTTCTCTTACTTTTGTTCATTAGCCAGATTCCCCACAATAAAAGTAATCATCTAGATGCTTACCAAGCAAGCAGGAACCTCCCACCTTGGGGGGCCAGAGAAAGGAAGAAGAGTATGAACATTATTTAACACTTTTTGATCCTTGTCATTTACATGGATAGAAACAGTATTTTCGGTTTTAGTAGCTTTCCATTTGAAGGAAAGGACTAACATAGATCAATACTTTCCCAGATCAGTGTAGGTCCAAGGTTGCCGGCCCTGTTCTTCAGGTCAGGTTTGGTTGGGTGTACTCTTGACGGAGGGGGGAGGGGACGCCATGTCTTTCCTCTGGCATGACCCAGCCCCAAAAATAAAGGATGTCGCTTATCCACCCAGAAAGGAAGCTCAGCACCGGCAGCAGTGGCAGATACGAAGACAGTGATGGGTGTTACCTGCAGAAGTCCAAGCACCCCAGGAAGCTGGAGCTGCAGCAGCTGTCCACCCGCAGCAGCAGCAGCAGTAGCAGGGTCAGCCGCATCAGGAGCAGCAGCTCCGCAGCCAACCTGATGGCCAAGAAGCGGGTGATCCGCATGCTCATCGTCATCGTGGTCCTCTTTTTCCTGTGCTGGATGCCCATCTTCAGCGCCAACGCCTGGCGGGCCTACGACACCGCTTCGGCCGAGCGCCGCCTCTCTGGGGCCCCCATTTCCTTCATCCTCCTGCTCTCCTACACCTCTTCCTGTGTCAACCCCATCATCTACTGTTTCATGAACAAAAGGTTCCGCCTCGGCTTCATGGCCACCTTCCCCTGCTGCCCCAACCCTGGCCCTGCAGGAGTGACCGGGGAGGTGGGCGAGGAGGAGGAAGGTAGGAGCACAGGGGCCTCTATGTTAGGTACTCACATAGTCACATGAGTGCTTCTGCCCAACCCCCATGAGCTGTCCTGGGGCCCTCCACTGCAGACGGAAGGGGTGGGAGCTGGGGGGAGGAAGAAGAGGAGGAGGAATAGAAGAAAACAGCAGGAGGGGGAGAAGGAAGGCTCCATTTCCAGTTGGAACGATTTCTTGTGCTTTTCATCCATAATCTGGGTTCCAGAGGGGGAGCCCCTCTGGGGTAGGTTAGTTTATAGGCTGTTTCAAAGCAGGAACTTTTCAATAGCATTAACCATCAAAAGAACCTGAGCAGGCCAGTAACAAGAGCCCAGCGGGGCTCATGCTGCAAATGTAATTGCCAAGCTCATATTCAAAATGGAGATGTAGACCCTACTGAGCTTTAGAGGATTCTGGAACATCCAAGGTGGGCACTCACTCCCCATAGTGACGCATCTCTACGCTCTGCTTCTTCTCCTGGTGTAGGATTGTGGAGGCTCTCTGCCTCTGGGGAGCCCACCATGCTTTCAAGTATATACTGTAGCCACCCACCTCGTCGTGACCACAAAAGGGAACCTGAACTGAGACTTCTGGCCATTTTCTGTAGTATGAGAACAGCCTGACTTTTTCTTCTTGAGGTCAGTCATGGACATTCAGTGACAAGGTTATGTTATCATCAAAATAGCACAAGGAACATTGTCTGAAAGATGGAAATTGGAACTTACATTTCTAAAAAGAAAAAAGAATAGGAGGCAAATAGCTGCACAGAATGCTATCTTAATATGAGGAGTGTTAAGTACCAGAAGGGGATTAGAAGTATTTTTTCCACGTTAATTGTATATATATATTGCTTAACTCCTCCTTTATACGGTAATATTAAACCCCATGGCTTCTATGCCTCAACTTAGTTTCTCATACTCATGTGGCACTTCCTCCTTTTCCGAAAAGACCTTCAGGTTGAAAGGAGAGTTGCAAGTTACATATACCTGACCAAGGGTGGAAACATGTATAGTCAGGCCCAGAATAAAAACTGGCAAACTTGGACCCAGTCAACCAATAGTGTTTGCATGTCAAAGCTGTCTATGTCTTTATATATAATCTATGTATTTGCTATTAATTGTGCATGTGTAAACTGAATATATAAGTATGTTCTTTACGTGGAAGTATACTCTTTGATGTGTTAAAAAATAGATACTGAATGTTGGAATTCAGCAAGTTTTATCATTTTTTATTCCTTCACAACAGTTGGTATTGCATTGCAAAATTAGTGTTGAAATCTCTCTAATTTAGAAATTTCAGTTTTACATAGGATATGAGCTATATATTTAGATTCCAGAAAGTGCATTTCTAGACTAGCATGTGTCAGTCTGGTCTAACAGCACAGCTTTCTTTCGTTTAGAGCAATGCTATCCTATTTGCTTAAATAAATCAACATGGACATTTTTGACAGAAAAAAGTTTGCATGCTAGCGTAGAAAGGAAGGAAGGAAGGAACGAACGGAAGGAAGAAGGAAGGAAAGGAGAGGGAGGAAGAGAGGGAGGAAGGAAGGAAGGTCATCAAAGTTTTCATGCCCCCAAGCATCTGAGAAGTGAGCTTTTCTTTTTCTTGTTTTCAATTAATCCATGCTAGGTACTTTGTGTGGCACACAAGGTCCGGTGATCCCAAATGTTGAAAAAAAAATTGTATGTGGAGAAGGGGGAAAGGGCAGGGAGTGGCAAGAAGTAAACATGAATAGGGGAAAGGATGTTTTATTCTAGCAAGATGTGAGCGTCACCATTTTGATTTTTAGGGGGGAAATGGTCATGTGCTGAGAAGAAATTGTTGAAGGTATGACTTTATTGTAAGGGCATTTCAAGCTAGATGTTAGTTTTTCTGTTCTTCACTATAATTAGCTGTATCAAAGATTTCAAGGTAAAAATTCAACCAGCTAAAACACGCACTGCTAAAATGGTAATAATAAAAGGTAGAAATAAACATGTCAAAAAAAAAAAAGGTATATAAATGTCTCCAGTATTTGAGTAACTCCTACAAGATCTATAATTTTCCTGACTGAAGTATAAGCTTTCCATAGCATATATATGAAATAAATTAGGCCCCATATTATTGGGAACATCTGGAAGTACCACAGATATGTTAACCTTAAAATAGGTTGCCAGATTTAGCAAATAAAAATATAGGATGCCCACTTATATTTTAATTTCAGATTAGCAGCTAATATATTTTTAGTATAAGTATGTATCAAATAGTGCATGGGGCATACTTATAATGAAAATCTATTTGTTGTTTATCTGAATTTCAATCCTGTGGTTTTTGTTTTGTTTTGTTGGCAATCCTACTTAAAAATCATTTTAAAAGTGTGTAAAATTATAAATAAGATTTGCCAGATACAGAGCAGTAAAATGCCTATTCACTAAATTTGTTGGAAGCTCTTTCATAAAATGGACTTTTTTTTTTTTTTTTGAGAAGAAAACTGCTATTAACTTTCATAATCTGTGCCTGACAGTTGGAAAAGTTACCATCAACAGCTTGATTTTACTGTTTAAAAAAAAAAATTTAATATAAGCTATTCTAAGGACTCTGTTGAGTTAACTGCCTTTATTTCATGCTAAAGTGGCTTACTAATTTGAATTTGAAATGAAGTGGCCGGTAGAGTCAAGAATAGAAAACAAATTCATGAAGTTTCTGGTGTTTTTCTAGCGTCTTCTGGTAGCTTCTACTCATCACCAGAGTGGTAAGTTAGAACTTGAGCAATGGAATGGAGACTGTACCTTTGACTTTTAATTAAATTGTCAAAATGGCTTCTGTGCCCTAGTTACCATGGTAATCTCCCTCTCATAATAACCTTGTATAGGTGAATAAGTAGTGTCTGTGTTTATATGGTTCAGCTACATATGTTTGTGTATACTTAACAATTATCCTCTCCACTCAAAGTGTAATCTTCAGCAGGCAAGTGGCAATAGCTGCTGAGCCTCCGTTGTATCTCATTCCAGTGTTTTGCCCAGCATTCTACATACTGTGGGTGCTCAATAAATGTTGTGACTGACTTCTGCTGTGCCTTCTATTCTGTGTTTTTTGTTTTTTTGTCGGGGGTGGGCCTTTGAACCACAGCAGTGATTCTTAATAGGGGAGACACATTCTCGGAGGAGGGGAATGGTATCAAAATTTTTAGGGGGGTTTTCCAACTTGGACCCCCTGGGTGGTGCAAAATGGTTAACTCACTCGACTGCTAACATAAAGATTGGAGGTTCGAGTCCACCCAGAGGCAGTTCGGAAGAAAGACCCGGTGATCTACTTCTTAAAAATCAGTCACTGAAAACCCTATGGGGCACAGTTCCACTCTGACACGCATGTACATGTGGGGTCACCGTGAGTCAGAATAGCCTCAGCTGCAACTGTTTTTGTTTTTTCCCAGCTCTGTATATCCCTTCCCCAAGATTGTAATGTGTGAGCCTCCTCTGTCACCACTTCCTGTCCTTCTAACCTCTGGAGGTAGGCGGCTTGCGTGTCATCAGAAATGTTACTAATGGAAGGTGTTGTGCCTGTAAGCAGTGCTAAGACACAGAAAAAGGGTAGAGACGCATCCGTCCTGCAGTATCCTTTGGCTTAGTTCCTCTCTGTCCTCATTCCCTTTAAGAAGAACACTAAAAAAAAATCACCACACTTCTAGTTCATGCTAAAGTACCCAATTCACTCATTGTTGCTGGTGTTGTTGAGTGCCGTGGAGTCGATTATGACTCATAGTGACCCCATGTGACAGAGTAAGACTGCCCAATAGGGTCTTCTAGGCTGTGATCTTTATGGGGGCAGACCACCAGTTCTTCCTCCCGCTGAGCTGCTAGGGTGTTCATATCACCAATCTTTCTGTTGGCAGTCAAGCACTTTACCATTGTGCCACCAGGGCTCCTTGCTCACTCACTAAAAACCATTGCTGTCAAGTCGATTCTGACTCATAGTGACCCTATAGGACAGAGTAGAACTGCCCCATAGGGTTTCTAAGGAGCGGCTAGTGGATTCAAACTGCCAACCTTTTGGTTAGCAGCTGTAGCTCTTAACCACTGTGCCACCAGGGCTCCTTACTCACTCATTACAGCTGACAAATATTACCAAAGCCCACTTGACCCCTTAGCTACTCTCTCCGCATCTATTTACTCTCCTGCAGGATCCCTCTGGGAGCTCTTCTGGGCCACTGTCACCCACCATTACATCTATCAACTCCCTGTGGCTGACTCTCGGTTCTTCACATGGCGCTTCCCTTCTTCTGCTCCCTTGGACTGGACGTTTCTGACCTCTCTGGCTTCTCAGACCACCCTCAGCTGGGACAGATTCCAGATTTTCTAAACCTCCCAAAGCCAAGGGCCAGCTGTACAACTCCATGCATCCTAACTCCATGCCCCACTCAGGTCTTAGAAGCCCAGCCTGAGAGGAATTTTAGGTCCTTCATCTTGCCGAGGAAGAGAGGTCAGACAAGGATAAATTATATAGCGTATAGGGTCCCTATGTGTTGGAATCAACTTGACGGCAGTGGGTTTGTTGTTTTTTTGGGGGGGTAGGGGTAACATTGTTCATAGCACATAACCCCGAACCTGTTGCCGTCTAGTCAATTCTGACTTGTAGCGACCCTATAGGACAGAGTAGAACTGCTCTGCAGGGTTTCCAAGGAGTGGCTGGTGGATTCAAACTGCCAACCTTTGGTTAGCATCCATAGCTCTTAACCACTGCACCACCAGAGCTCCCCATATAGCACATAAGACGTGCTCAATAAACATCTGTGGGATGAATAAATGAATGAAAGAATGGAGTTGAATCCAGTTGTTCCTCAATGCCAGTCCTTTCTTGGCCGCTTTGAGAAGGGCGCACCATTCCACCAGGGGCATCCTAAGCAGAGCATGCGGTAGTGCTTGATAAAACGTGCCGTTGACTGAGTATTCAGTCTCCAATCATCCACACTACAGGTGATGTCCAGCAAATCTGGTTTCAAGTGCCCTAACAGTAAAACCCTCCTCTGTGGATACCGAGGATATCCTCTGGATGGGAAGTCCGGAAACTTATGTCCCAATCTTAGCACTGCCAGTAACTTGCTGTATGGCCCCAAACAAGTCACACTCCCTCTCTGAGTATGTTTCCCCATGTGTAAAATGAGAGGTTACTGCTCCCATTCCGATACTGTGTGACTCTGTAGGTCAGAATTTGCTATGTTCTGTTATTATCCCATACCCTCCCTTAATGTCATGGACTTCCCATTGACTTTGCAATCCAAGAAGCTCCCTGACACCCAAGCTCATAACCACCTCTGAGGAAGCCTTGACCTTCGGGGCACCTCTGAGGAAGGCTGCCAGGAATGAGGAAGAAAAGGGCCCAGAGAGGAATCTGTGAACTCCCAGCCTCTTCTATGTCACATCGGCCCAGAGCAACTTGCGGGAGACTGGTCCTTGAAACAAGAGTGAAATGTAGCCATAAAAATCCACTCAAAAAACAAATTTAGACTAGGATTGAGAGGGGTACCAACATTTATTAAAGGCCTGCTATGTGTATCTATCTGTCTT